TCGTGAGGCCTACTTAAATTATTGCGGAAAATTCAACTAGACCTAGAGTGAATGAGGCTTTACTATTTTTTATCTTCTGTTGTATGCATATTAATACCAGCTATTTATTTTTCACCTCTGTTCACTTGGTCAGTCTAGCTTGGATTTCACACCGGCCTCCTTAAGACCTTTGGCAAGGCTTAAGTCATGAGTGTCCGGGACATGCAATTGGATCAAGGTGGCCTTTGAGAAGAAGCATAAAGCAGCGGATTTCCTTGCAGACGCAAGACTCCTTTGCATTTTCCCGGTGTTTCCAATCTCTATCAGTCCCACTAACAACATACAAAAGATGACCTCTGGTTCACTGGCTTTACTTTGAATTGTAATTGAATCATTCCAAAGCTAAATTTAGTATAGACAACATACTAAAATCCCGTCCCACTTGAACTCGGCAAACGTCCTATAGAGGGCGTCTAACCTGTACCACGCATCTTGCAACGAAGGCTGCAAAAGTTGTAGTCCTGCTCGCAAAGCGTCTTGCAAAGCCCACCGCCCAGCTGATCACAGGTGGCCTGGCAACGCGTCATGCTGTTTAAGCAGAAAAGTGGACACTTCTTCTTGTCCATCCATGAAACCGCCTCCCGAATATTCAGAAGGCCGAGGATGAAGAAGGCCAGTAGTAGCTGCAGGAGAGTGGAGGATGTGCAAATGGAATGAGCTTCATTAAATAAATATAAATGTTATTAACTTACCTTGCGGCAAACTAAATTATTAGGTAGGCAGCCAAATAACTTTAAATGGCAAATTTTAAATACGAAACTAAAGGGCTTATATGAGAATGTTCTGAATTTACTCATTTCTTCCGTTCTTTGAAGGGCCTCTTGATCATTACAAAAAACGAACGTATACAATAGTTGGATTTATTATCTGCTCTGAGCTTTGCACTATCGAAGAGGTTTTGAAGAGATAAAACAAACCAATATAATTATCCTCAAGTCATTCTGTTTTGGTGAGAACCCCCCCACCACAATACATCAATCATCTTGGGTTTCTATTGTTAAGAATTTGACCTATTTTTCTATAAGCATTACAAAACTAAGATTGGAATTTTGAAGTCAATGATTCTTAGAAGTATGAGGCTAGCGGATAGCAAACATTTGACTAAAGAGTTACAACGGCTGACAAATATATTCCTGGAAAAAATTATCCTTTAGGCCTAATTGAGAATAATATCTCTCTACTGAGGAATAAATTTTCAGACGGAGACCATATAGTCAAAGATATAGTCAAAGACTGAGACCTTTTCCCATGTACTAATTTTGTCGTCATGTCTTCTCTAAAAAAAAAGGTG